CCTTTACCTCTCTCACCCCCACCTTCCCTTCACCCCTTCTTCCCTGACTCGCCGGCCCCCATACCCCTCTCCTCTCTCCCCTCACTTCTTCCCCATCCCGTCTCCCCTCACCCTTCCCCTGCCTTTCATCCCCCCACCTACTTCCCATCGACTCTCCGCCCCCTCCGCCCCCTCCGCCCCCCGCGAGGAAGTGTAGGCGTAATGTTCTCCTTAATGATCGGGTCCAGTGGCAGTCGCGGCGGGGGCGGGCGGCGGGGGCGGGCGGCGCGCGGTGCTTGTTTGCGGGCGGGGGTGGAAAGCAGGCGACCAGAGAAGCGTGTTTGAGACGTGAGGGTGATGGCAGGTGAGCAGATGGGCGTGTCTGTAGGTCGGGCAAGGAGAGAACGAGAGAAAGAGTGAAAAGAAAAAGAATGTCAAAGAAGGAAATGGTTGATTTTGCCGTTTTTTTTCCTTTCTTTCTTTCTTTCTTTTCTTCTTTTTTTTGCATGTGTATGTGCGCGAGCGCGCATCATAATTTCTATAACCATTTCTAGATATATATACGCGTTCGTTTGTGCGTACGTGTGCGCGCTTTCGTGAGTCCGTTGCGTCAATAGCATGCGATATGTGCCGTGTGAGGTGGGGTCGCCGCGCCCTCCGCTCGTGCATATTATAGCCTGACGAACATTCCTAGCCCCCCTTCCCCCGTCCCGAGAATACCTTATGGTGGCGGCCCCGAAGGTTATCAGGCGCGGGTACTGCATCGGGTCACGAAGCTCTTGCAACCTCGGCAACGATCCTGCAGCCGTGTGACGCAATGGATGACGCCACTGGTGTGTGGGGGTGGCGAGGAGTAGGGGGTGGGATCGGGGTGTTGGGGGCACGTTGTTATGACAGCCAAGGGGGGGAGGGGTGAGAGAAATAGCAAAGTGATTGTGATAAAGGTGATGGGAGCAGAAGGTTGATAAAGAGAGATAGATTCATAATGCTGATGACGCGAACGAATTATAAAAAAATGAGTGAAGGGAACATAAAAGAAAAGGAGAGATGGAAGAAGAGGAATTGTTATGTTAAGGTGGCGATAAAAGTATTGATTTGCGAGTTGATCAGGACGATTTTTTGACGAGAATATACTTGATACTCGAAAGTAATAGGGATAGTCTAGCATAGATTTAACGTTTAAAAATATAATAATTATGATTGTAATGGAAATAACTGAACGTGATACTGATAGTCACAGTGATGCTGATGTTATTACTGAGGTATTGAATGCCATGTTGATAAAAATAGCGACGGCGTACATAATAGCGTACATGATTATTATTACAGGAATAATAGTAATCATGCGCTGACAAAGACCAAAGGAAACAACAAGAGAAAGAGTGTGACGTCACAGGTGCGGGTGCAAAGAACGGCCGTCAAGGAACAACAATAATCGGAGGGACTCTGACGTCACACGCAGCCAATAATTCTCTCTCTCTCTCTCACTCACTCACTTTTGCTCTCGCTCTCACTCTCTCACTCCTTCCCTCCATCCCTCCCTCCTTCCCTCCCTCCTTCCCTCCTTCCTTCCCTCTCTCCTTCCCACCTACCCTCTCTGTCTCTTTCTTTCTTTCTCTCTCTCCATACGTTTTTTTTCCTGTCGTTCGCACACGTCTGCCTGAGCTAAAAAGGTAATTCAGACTTTCTACGACGATTAAGGTGGTGGTGGGGAGAGTGTGGGGGGTATGGGGGAAGGATTTGGTCATCTGATTGCTTTATTTACCTATTCGCTGGTGGGGTTTGCTAATTAAAATGATATTCTGTGCTGATTGATTCAGTTTGATTAATTGATTTTTTTTTCTTTTTTTTGCGTGATCATAAATTCAGGGATTTGGTGATTCGTTCGCTTTTATTTGGTTATTTCATGATATTATATGACTTCCGTTTTTGTTTTTTTTAAACGCTCCGTGATTTCGTCAGATTTCTTCATGTTTCATTCAGTCGTAACTTCGTTGTTATTCTTTTTGCTTATTCGCAGACATACTTCTCGTTAATTGAAATGCTCCCTCACGAGGCCCGCTACAAGAAGCAAATTTCGTCCACACAAACGCATGTTTACACCCACGAACACCCACACTTACGCATGGTCACGAACGGCCACCTACACTCACAGACGCCCACAGGAGACACCCCTCAAACGTCCACGGACACTCACTCATACTCACGCTCACGAGTGCCTACCCACACTTACAAATGCCCAATGACTTCCTCGGACGACCGGTCACTCACAAACGCCCACGAACGCCAACTGAAAGTCATACACACAAACGCCCACTCAAACTCACGTACACGAATGCCCTCTCAGACTCACGTACACGAATGCCCACTCAGACGCGCGCCCACGAACGCTCAAACTCACGCTCGCGAACGTCCACTCAAAGTCACGCCCACGAACGCCCATTTCGACGAGCGCATTCGAGGACCTCTTCGTCCGGGTTGAATATTCATGCGTATTAGGAACAGAGCTGGGGGGGGGGGAGTGAAAAGAATGGAAGAAGGAAAAGAAAGGGAGAAATGGAAGAGGGGAAGGGGAGAGATGGGGGAGGAAGGGGAAGGAAAATGGAAGGAGAGAAACGGCGATGTGTTTGGTGGGAAAGTGAGGGATGGGTTTAGCGGAACTAGGAAGGAAATAGAGTGGGTGGAAAGGGATGGAGGGGTGGGGGGGGTCACCACTTTCCTGCTGAAAAAGTCGTAATGTTTTTAACAAGGAGGCAGAGATAGAGACAAAGTCAAACTGAGAGAGAGGAGGAGAGCGAGAAGGGGTGGGGGTGGGAGAGAGAGAGGGAGAGGGAGAGGGAGAGGGAGAGAGAGAGGGAGAGAGAGAGAGAAGGGCTAAAGGAGAAAAGGAGGGAGACAAAGCTAGATATAGAGGCAGAAAGACCGAGCCAGGGTAAACACGAAGCAAGAAACAAGAACAGGGCGACCACAGAAACAATAAACAACAACAGAAACAGATTGAGACTTCGTGATCTGGCGTTCATCACGGTCGAGATCCATTAAGTTAGCGTCGCGCTGATGAACGCGCCATCACGGCCATTCCTCATGTTATTTCGTCTGCCTTTTGCTCTCTCTCCTTTTCTTCTATTTAGTGATTTGTTTGTATGCTTATTCCAGTATATCTTCTATATTTTTTTTTCTTTTTATCTCTTCTCTTTGCTTTTCCTGCTTCGGTTTTTTTATTGATCTGTCGTTTTGTTTGTTTGTTTGTTTGTTTTTTTCATTTTTTCATATCATTATTATTGAAAAATATACTATAATTCATCATCACAAACAATACCATTATTAATTATCATTAATATCATCATCATCCTCGTCATCACAAACATCACCGCCATATCCATCTTATTAATAATCATCGTTATTGTAACTCTCATCGTCGCCATTATAACCACCATAGCTCATCGTCGCCACCAGTATCGTCCCATATTTGTTCATTATCAGCCACGACTCCCCATCATCACCCTCGTCTTGTTCCTCACCTTCGCAAGCACCTCGCAGGCACTCGCAGGCTGCCTCGTCCGTGCGTCCTGTGCCTTCGCCTGCGTGAATGTGCGGGAGCATCTCCGAACCAGATTACTTGCCCCCCCACCCCCACCCCCTCCTCCATCTTCTCAATCCACTCGGTATTCTTTTTATCGTATTCTACTCCACCTCCTCCTGCTCTTCCTCCTCTTCTTCTTCCTCCTCCTTCGCCTCCTCGTTCACACGCCCTCTATTAATATTTTCTTACCGCTCTTCTTCTTCCCCCTCTTCCTCTTCCGTCTCCCTCTCCCCCCTCCTCACGCTTCCCGCTTCTTCGGCCTCTTCTCCGTCTCACCTGTTCACCCCCCCCCCCCCCCACGGCCCTCCTTGGTCAGATCGGCTCCATCTCGGTCCTCTTGTCACACGGAAGCACGCGCCGGCCGGTCTTAGGGCGCTGGCGCTCTCTCCTGCTCTTCCCTTATCTCTTCTTTGTTATTCGTTTCTTGTATCTGAATGTTTCCATCTGTCGTTCCCCTCCTCCTTCCTTTGTATTCGTTTTCGTTCTCCATCTCTGTCGTATTCTCTTCCATCTTTCATCTCCCTCCTGCATCCATCCTTCCTCCTCTCCGTCTTCCTCTGATTCATTTTTTCTTCTCCTCCTGCCTCTCCTCCTCCTCCTCCTCTTCTTCCTCCTCCTCCTCCTCCTCCTCCCCCCCCTCTCCCCTCCCCTCCCCTCCACTTCTCCCCCCCTCTCTCTCTCTCTCTCTCTCTCTCTCTCTCTCTCTCTCTCTCTCTCTCTCTCTCTCTCTCTCTCTCTCTCTCCCTCCCTCCCTCCCTCCCTCCCTCCCTCCCTTCCTCCCTTCCATTCCTCCCTCCCCTCCCCTCTCCCCTCCATGTCCACCGACCCCCTTTCCCCTCCTCCCGCTTTCCCTTCTCCCCTTCTCCCTTCCCCTTCCCCTCCTCCTCCACCTCCCCTCCCCTCCTTCGTTTCTTCTGTCTCCCCGCCCCCGTTGACACTGATGGCCGTTGATAAGCACACGCAGCCATTGATGCATTCGGTCAAAGGAGGGGGGGAGGGGGAGGGGGAGGGGAAGGGTTAATACTTCCGGTTGAAAAAATCTTCTTAATGTTCTTAGTGTCTTTTTTCACTCGAGTAAGAGGGGGATTTTCAATTTGTAATTCTTTCTTTCTTTCTTTTTTTTATATGCATTTATTATCGTCGGTACATTTCAATTCCTCCTCTTTTCCTTTTCGTACTACTATCTTCTAATTCCTCATTGTCCTCTTCCAATTCCCATTCTTCTTATTCATCTTTTTCTTCTTCTAATTGCTCTCCTTCTTGATTCCTCTTCGTCTACTAATTCTTCTCCGTCTTATTCTTCTTCGTCTTCTTCCTCAAAGTCCTCGTTTTCTTCCTCTTCGTCCCCCGTCCTTACGTATTACATTCTCTTTTGTTTTACTTGAAGAATATTAGAAAAAAAGATTCTAATTCTCGATTTTTCTCTGTCTCCTTCTAGGTATTGCCCAGCAGCCGGTGGGAGGCAAGCAGTGTGGTGACAGAGGTAGGATGTGTGTGTGGGTGTGGGTGTGGGTGGGTGGGTGCATAGGTGGGTGGGTGGGTGGGAGTGAGTGAGACAGTCACACATAGTGGCTCTGTGTTTGTGAAGATTATAATGGTGTTGTATATGACTTTATCTGTGTTATCAATAATACTAATAATAGTTATGATAATCACATTGGTGATGTGACATTTTATTTTTAAAAATTATACAATATGAATCCATACGAAGTAGACCCCTGGACCAGTGTAGTCCAAACCAGTATTGTCGAGACATTAATATACGAGATGATAATTCACGTTGCGAGCTGCAGTGTTAATTTTGAGAGATAGTTGGCATGTCAAACTTTCGTAATGAATATACGGTGTTTACTTCAGATGTATATCAAGTTTTTTCACCCGTATTTACCACTAAGTATAGTCGCAATAAATATATTGTTTTACTACCCAGTATTTTTGGCCCTGACAAGGGTATGAAAAGACTGTCTGTATTTAATGTAGTTTGAAATGTATAGTGCATATGTAAAGATATGATTATATGCATGATTTTACACGCATACACACCACACATACACACACACACACACACCACATACACACACACACACACACACACACACACACACACACACACACACATACACACACACACACACACATACACACACACACACACACATACACACACACATACACACACATACACACACACACACATACACACACATACACACACATACACACACACACACACACACACACACACACACACACACACACACATACACACACACATACACACACACACACATACACACACACACACATACACACACACACATACACACACACATACACACACACACACACACACACACACACACACACACACACACACATACACACACACATATACATACACTTTTGTTTACCTTGTTTACATACTTCCCTTACTAACGTATTTCCGGACAAAGCCTTGGCTACCTCATAGAGCCTGCTTACGGACGCGCCTAGGCACGCATTGATTCATATCCGAAGGCAAAACGCACACCTGCTATTCTGCGGTATAATAATCAGATACATTATTCAGTTTGATGTCATTGTGGCAAGTGTCGCGTCACCGTTCCGGGCGAAAGGTCGAGTGTGACTTAAAGGAGAGGAGGCCATACTGGCAACTCGGCTGCTCACCCCCGACGCCCCCTCCCTCCCTCCTTTTCACCCTTTTTTGAGCCCCCTTTCTCTCTCCTCTTTTTCTCACCCTTTCTTTTGCCCCCTTCCCTGGATCGTCTAGTTGACCGTCTCCTTTTTTAAAAAATTTAGGACGGTTCGTAATGGTTTTCCTTTTCTCTGTCTATCTATCCTTGTCTGTCTTTTCCTCAAACGCTCCGTTCTCCCTCTTTCCCTTCCTCTATTCATCGACCCTATTGTGCCTCTCTTTTTCCGCCTTCTTCCATACTTCTCTTCCTCCATACGTTTCTCCTCTTATTATTATTATTTTTCTTCATCTTCTTCCTCCTCCTCTTTCTCCTCGTCTTCCCCTATCTTCTTCTATTTTTCCTCCTCCTCCTCCTCCTCTTCCCCCTCCTACATTTTCCTCCCCCCCCCCCTCCTCTTCCCCAAAGCATGTTCTTCGTGGCTGACTCATTCGTGAAAGATTGAACTCCCTGAGACTCCAGTCTGGCGGATGTAAACTTGATCTTTTATTTACGCGGGAGATTTTAGACAGCGCATCACATTTAGACCGGCGTGTCGTAATTTTATAGATGGGCTATATTTATTGGTTTTATCATTTTTTAGCCACGACGCTTCATTATATTTGTATTCATTTATTCCGGAGGGGGAGGAGGGGAGGAGGGGGGGGGTTAAGGAGGCGGAGAGGGATTGGGGCAGAGGTAGGGGGAAGGAGGGGAAAAGGGGGGGGGTAAGAGCGTATAAATGGTTGGTCGAGATAATTAAGGCGTGTGGCACGTTTCTGCAATTACTCTCGATGAACTTACTACCGCTGTGCTTTTCTCCTCTCTCTCTCTCTCTCTCTCTCTCTCTCTCTCTCTCTCTCTCTCTCTCTCTCTCTCTCTCTCTCTCTCTCTCTCTCTCTCTCCCTCCCCCTCTCTCCCCCTCTCTCCCTCTTTCTCTCTCTCTCCCTCTCTTTCCCTCTCTCTCCTGTCCCTCTCCTTCTCTCCCTCTCTCCCTCTCTCTCCTTCTGTCTCTCTCCTTCTCTCCCTCTTTTCCTCCCTTCCCTCTCTCCCATCCCTTTTCCCCTCTTCTCTACACTTCCTCCCTCTCCTACGTCACTCCTCTCTTCATCTCATCAGTAAGCGCATGAGTACTCCTCGTGGACCATGTGTTCTGTAAGCATGATTTATATTATAAGAGTATTACGGTGTCAGTGAGCTCCCTATTCCACGTGCCTGTGCGTACATGTTCATGTGTGTGTGTATGTGTGCGTGTGCATCAACATGTACAAGTGGGTCGATACCTAATTATTGCCAGTGAGTCGCACCCTTCTTCACCCCTCCTTACCCTCCCTCCTCCCTCTCCCCTCTGCCTCCCCTCTCTCTCTCTCCCCTCTCTCTCCCCTCTTTTTGTCAAGGTCATCCCCCTCTTTCGTTTCTGTACTTCAACCTTCGACCTTCGTCATGTATTTCGAGTAAGACAAACACGCCCCCCCCCCCTCTGTACACCCCTTTCTCCCTCATTTTTTGCCATGACATGCTGCCAGCAGGAGGGAAGGAGGGGGAAGGGGTGGAGGAGTAGGGGTAGGGGAGGGTGCTTGTTGGGCGGCGCCGGAACCTGAGGGAGAGAGGAGAGGGGGTGGGGGAAGGGGGGGGCGAGAGAGATTGGATGGTTGTGTTCTCTCTCTCTCTCTCTCTCTCTCTCTCTCTCTCTCTCTCTCTCTCTCTCTCTCTCTCTCTCTCTCTCTCTCTCTCTCTCTCTCTCATACACACATATATATCACTCACTCCTGCACTCTTGCTCTCTCTTTCCCTCTTCCTCCTCCTCCCCTTCTTCTTTGTCCTCTTCCCCCTCCCCCTTCCCCCCCTCGTTTTACGCCCTCCCCCCACTCTCTTCCTCCTCTCACCTCCCCACTTGCTTGTATGACCTTTGCATGAAGCTCGCCCGTTTGTCAAGGGTTGTGGTGATGGCCGAGATATCATCATGGCCGCTACTGTTTTATTTGCCCCCCCTTCCCCTCCCCCTCCCCTCCTTCCTCCCCTAATCTCTTCACTTCCCTCCTCCTCCTCCTCCCCCTCCTCCTCCTCCTCCTCCTCCTCCTCCTCCTCCTCCTCCTACTCCCCTTTACCTTGAGGCTAGGGGGTGGGGGGTGAGCGAGGGTGGGAGATGTGTGTGTGTGTGTGTGTGTGTGTGTGTGTGTGTGTGTGTGTGTGTGTGTGTGTGTGTGTGTGTGTGTGCGTGCGCGCGCGTGAGTGTGTGTGTGTGTGTGTGTGTGTGTGTGTGTGTGTGTGTGTGTGTGTGTGTGTGTGTTTGCACGCACGCGTTCTTGTCTACGAATATGCACGTGAAATTCCTCTTATAAGATTTGCTCTTGGTACATGTTTTATTTTGTTAATGTTTTTATCATTATTGGTGGGATTATGAATTATTTGTTTTATGGTATTTTTTATTTATTGCCGTTTTTCTATGATTAATCGTCCGCGTGTGTATCGCCATTAAAGTATTTGATGGCAAATCTGTAGCCAAGGCAAGCGGCGGGTGGGGGGGGGGGGCATGGGAATAGACAGACACAGCTGTGGAAGAAAATAAAAATAAGAATAAAAAAAAGGTACATTGGCATGTCCTGTTAACCCCCCCCCCCCTCCCTCCGATCTCCCTTCCATTCTCCACCCCTTCCCTCCCCTTGTCCCCTCCACCCATTCCACAACCCTACCCCCCTACCCTCGTACCTTCCCTATACTCCCTTCCTCCCCTTCCCCTTTCCTTCTCCGCCATTCCGTGCCCCCTTCCTCCCCGCATGACTCCCCCTTCCTCGCCCCGTCCACTACCCTATCCTCACCCTTCCCTTCCCCCCTTCTCCCCCCTTCTCCCTCCTTCTCCCCCCTCCTCGTCCCCTCCCCACTCGCCATGACATTCCCGCACACAAACCTGGCAAGCGTATCTGTCTGTCTCCTCCGCCGATCTGCTTTCTCCAGCGGCCCTCTCTTTCGCTCATTAAAAACCCAGCAGTGTCGTGTGGCCTGGGCGGCGAGGTCATTGGGTCATTTCCCCTCTGTACTTTTCTGCCTTCCCTTGCTTTTATCTCTCACCTTCACGTTTCTTCTTCCTCCTTCTTCTCCTCATCTCTCTCACCCTTCCCACGATGTGCTTTTGTTTTTTTGTTTTTTTCTCTCCCCTCGCTTCTCCTTCTCTCACCTTTCCGCTTCCCTCCTCACTTACCTCCTCCGTTCACTTTTCCTCCCCTCACCTTATCTCTCATATCTTGGCCTTACCTCCCTTATTCTCCCTTACCTCTCTTCCCCTACCCTCTCCTCATCTGACTGACCCTCCCATCACCTCCCCCTCTCCCCTCCCCTGCTTACCCCTCTTCTCCCCTCGTCTAAGTGGATAAAAGTATTTTGGATGGTAAAGTTAGGGTATCGATAGGGGGAGGGGGCTTTTTGGCACCTAACCCTATTTTTTTTTTTCTTTCACCTCTTTATCAGCATGATCATTTTCTTTTTTCTCAGAATCATCATCACCAGCAGTAGCATTAGTTTCATCATCATCGCCATTAGTATTGCGGTTATCGTCGTCGTCTTCCTTTTCCTCCTCCTCCTCCTCCTCCTCCTCCTCCTCCCCCCCCCTCCTCTTCCTTCTCTTCCGTCCTCTTCTTTCCCCTCCTCCTCTCCCTCCCCCCCTCTCTTTCTCTCGTCCCCCTCCCCATCCCCCCTTCCCACCCTCTTCCTCCTCCAACTCCCCATCATGATCATTCCTTTCTTCCGACCCTCCCCCCTCCCCCCTACGCCTCACATGTATTGAGAATATAATAGCTAATGAATATGACAAAGA